GGAGAATTGAAAGTTCCATGCAACATGTGAAGCACACCAATGAAGAAATCAAAAGCACACATGTGAAGAAATCAATGGCACACCATTGAAGAAGGTCATCCACCAACCTTTATTTTTTCACACACCAAATGTCAATGGTGGTGTGCTTGCTCATGCCTATAAATAGGCTTGTTATTTCATCATTTCAAATCATCCTTGAGTGATCAATCAACCTAGAGAGTGTTGAAACACAATCAAGAAAGAGTTGTGGAGTGTTTGAGAGTTTTTTGTTTAGAGTTTGTAAATCTCTTGTTTTTATTCTTGTGAGTAATAGAAACTTGTTTTTCTCTCAAATTATGCTTTTAATCTTGGGATGATACCACAACAGAGTATTAGTACTAGTATTCATTAACATAAAATAACTCCAACATCCAATAAGTTCGAGCAGTCGACGGACTGCTAAAGGCCATAATAGACAACCCGCTATTACAACTTCCACGAGAGACATCAAACATATCAGAAAGAAATAAAATATCTGCAACAACTACTTAGATTGCCACAGGAAACAAGCAGGATTTGCCATACTAAATTCTGTACAGATTACCAAATGTAAAATACAGAGGTCATTTTATATAATTATTACTTCTTCATCATTTGCTACACATTATTTTTTATTATGAAATTTATAATATGAATACAAATTCACATACTTTGTTTTTATTTGTTATACAATTATTAATTTCTCAAAACACTCTCAATTCGAGTAATGCTCCCCTATCCACGGTGGGCACGTGTTAATATGTCCACCGCTTATGTGGCATGCACACATTGGTGATGTTAATATGTTCAAAAAAATACATTACCAATACGTGCATGCCACATAAACGGTGAACATATTAACACGTGCCCACCGTGGGTAGGTGAGCATTGTTAAACAACTACAACAACAACAACAAAGACTTTTAGTCCCAAACAAATTGAGGTTGGCTAGAGATGAAACCTAAAAAAAAAAAAAAAAAAAA